AAAAAGCCTCCTGGATCGAGGTTGGGTTGTTGCTTATGCTGATGTTAGGTAGGATTCACATTATTTAGTGACCATGTACTTAATGCATGCTCACATGGACTTCTGTATTGTAAATTTATTTTCATCGGTGTCTTATCCCTTATATGATAGTTTTGGTGGCATGTTTCAGAGGTGGAGGTGGTTTTGGTAAGAAATGGCATAAGGATGGGAGACGTACGAAGAAGCATAATTCAATCAATGATTACATCTCTTGTGCCAAATTCCTCATTGAAAAAGATATTGTGCATGAAAACAAATTGGCTGGTTGGGGATATAGTGCTGGAGGACTTTTGGTTGCTTCTGCCATTAATTGTTCTCCAGATTTATTTCGTGCTGCAGTCTTGAAGGTGTTGAAGAATGTTTGCTTCCCGTTTGGGTTTTGGTTTACTTAGGCTCCACCTTAAATGTGTTATCTCAAATACTCAATTACTTTTTCGTATGGTTTCTTTTGTAGGTTCCCTTTTTAGATGCAACCAACACTCTTCTGTATCCCATCTTGCCACTTATAGCCACTGACTATGAAGAGTTTGGCTACCCTGTGGACCTTGATGATTTTCTTGCAATTCGAGAATATTCTCCATACGACAATATACAAAAGGATGTTCTTTATCCAGCTGTATTAGTAACCTCATCTTTCAATACACGGTAAGTTACTGATGACTTTTCATGTCTCATGGTATCCAAGTATTCTACGGGTTTCATTTGACTAGTATTTTAGTAAGAATGAAGGCATTTATGTTCAAAGAAAACTAAAACATGAGCAGTTCAAAATGGCTGTTAGTTGGTGTTGTATGTGTATGCATGTTAGATACTTCATTTGGATTTACATTTCTATTCTTACAATCTTTTTTTTTTTATGTTATTTACAGTAAATTGTATTTTAAATTATAACTACATTGTATGATATAATACTTTAGTATTTGCTCTATATGTTAATATCCAAACTTCCTACCTAGGTAACAACGACAAAATTTAAAATATTTCTCCATTTCATTTCACCTTCTGCCTTGAATAAGAACTACATTAGTGTATATACTTTTGTGATTGATACTCATTTTTAAGACTTATTTGTGTGAGTTTCCTTTCTTTCTCTGATTACTTGAATTATTGGCAATGGCCTAGTGGATATGCATAGACAACATCGTGTTTTCTGGTTGCTAGTGTGTGGACTTGTCTGCTGTAAATAATGGTTTTTATCTATGGCGTACAAAATGATCATGTCTAGGTTAATGTTTGCGTAAGTTGTCTATGAATTGCTTTCACCCCGCAAATGTGTAGAGAAGCTTTTTTTATTTTATTTTAAGCATTCTAAGTCTTTGAAAAAAAATATCTTCAGATTGAATTTGGGTATTATCTGATTAGACACCTCTATCAACATTTAATTTTCATAAATTGCAGATGCTTAAGCCTCTTTACATTTTAACAAAGATATGCATCATAAACTTGTGGCATTTTTGACATGTGGGAGGGAAAGGATTGTAAAGAAATAGGATTAAGTAAATAGGGAATATGTGAAAATTAAAATTTCTTCCCGTGTTATCGACCATCCAAATTTACCCTAAGCTGTTTATTGTAAAGAAATAAGCTGTTCATTGTCTTCCAGAGACTGTTACTCTTAAGTTTAGAAAGTGTAATGAATTTTTAAGTGGAAGTATCAAATCCCAAGGAGCTAGCACAATTAAGGGTGCAAATCTAAATATACTATTTTACTTGAAAAATAAAAGATAGTAAAGTAAAAGAAATCATGGTTGTTGAACGATTGACATGTAGATTGAAAGGATGTGATAATATGATATGAAGATATTAGGGTTAGGTTTCACAAAACCACCCCTCATGCAGATATCTTTAAATAAACTTATCTTTGTAAATCTTAATCATACCATCAACTCATTAAATTATTCAAATTTTAATTCCTTAAGCAATTGAACCTAAATTGATTGATTTAATCTCAATCCCTTGAGAGTTTTAAAGATGCCTAATTAGAACTAACCTATTTTTAGTATTAATTCCAATTTGGTAATCTTCTCAACATTCTAGTTTTAAAAACATTTTCCAATGTCAATGAAATCCCAGTTGAACCTACAAGGTACCTACAAGGTAATCAAGTTCATGGAGGCATTAAGCATAGAGAGGAATAATATAATTGAAAATAAACTTTGATAAATTCAAAATCAAGTGCATGAGTTTTGGTCTCGTTACATTTAAGTTAACAAGACGGAGCTTAGCCACGAATGTTATCGCTAGAAAGCAATTTTTGATTGGTGAAGGTTAATCTGTGATAAATTCTTAGAGATGCTTTCTAGCTGTCACTTCGAAAATTTTGAATCTATTCCACCCGCCAAATGTTACGTAAAACCTCTTCCTAGGTCGTTATTTGTAAGAATTCTATGGAGCCAAAATAAAAGATATTCATGAGAATTCTTTAAGGAAATCTTCGTTGATACTGCTTAACCAAATTTCCTTTGGTGACCAAATTTTAATGGTTTTATCTCGCTTTCAACAAATCATCAAATTTGTTCTATTTATCAACAAAGATAAAATAAAAGATAAAAACTTTAGTACAAAATCTCTTTTAAACAATAAGAATTCAAAAACTTAGGATATATGTTCAATTATCATTGTTAAAAACACGATTATAACTTATATATTAGTTGTGTTATGTGAATAGTAAAAGAATCAAACAGGTTATACCGTACTAATGGTCCTCGGCTTTTATTTTCATGACTCAGGTTTGGGGTATGGGAAGCAGCAAAATGGGTTGCACGAGTTCGTGATCTCTCAATTTACGACCCAAAGCGACCAATATTGTTGAATTTGACTACAGATTTAGTGGAAGAAAACCGTTATTTGCAATCCAAGGAATCAGCATTGGAGGCTACATTTCTCATTAAGATGATGGAATCTTAGATATCCAACTATCATTTGTGAACTAACTTCCCATAGCAACCTGATATGGAATTGAAATTATACCTTTGTTGAACCAAGATCTAGTCAGGAGTGCTGCTTGGAAATTACTTGGCATCCAATATTTTTCTCGAATTGATTCTGGCTTATTTCCTGCAAACCTACATGGGATCTGCTCCAAATGTACTATGCTGAAAAAACCAACAGAGTTGTCTCTGGAACGTTGCTGGGTTTACCATGTAATTTGAAGTTCATTACATGTAAATGTTGCAGTGCCTTACTATTTAACAAAGGGAATAATGCAATTTTGGTGTTAATGGTAATGGCATCCACGCCTGCAGGCATGTAATGAGCTTACATGGAATTTTCGCATTAAAGATTGTAATCTTAGAGCACCATGATCTTTTCCCACGTTCGACAATAGTATGATCGCATCAACGATCTCCAACTCAATCGAGTTTTGACAGATCTAATAAAATATTACAGCCAACTTGAATTTGAATCTAAAATATTAAATGCAGTCGAAATATTCCATAAATCATCCTTATAGCAGATACAATTTATTTTGACGTCACAACTTGTGATTTCAATAACTCGCCCTGGGGGCGTGGGACGCTCCTGATGAAAAAAGCTAAAAGAATTTTTCATTAGAAAAACCCTTAAACCTTTTGTAGTTACAATTGTTTTATTTAAAAAAAGAAAAAAAAAGGTGTACTTTTCTTTTCTCATTCTTACAAAGTTATTTTCTCTTCATTTACTTTTAACTCCCATCATATGATTTTTCTTCCCCTTCATCACATATCACAGGATGGCATTCAATACATCAATGATTGAATAAAAGAAAAGAAAAGAGCTAATGGAGAGCTCACTGATATGTCAACCGCTAGATGGAAAAACATCATAAAATTTCTACCAAAGTTCTTTTTGTGCAACAAAACTTAGTGGGTGATGCTCAGCTATGATTCATACCCCTGTTAAGAAGATATTTAGAACGAAAAAGTCGACCCAAAGATAAATAACTTAATCAGGGTTTAAACAGAGGATCGCATTAATAGAATAATATAAAGGTGCACTATCAATTAATCATTTATTAATTTATTTTTAATCATTAACTATTTAAAAGTAACGTAATAATCTATTTATCTTATCAAGAGGTATTAAAACTTTTAAGGGTGCATAAAATCCCCAAATCATAAGAAGCTAGAAAAGCTACTAGTAATTTGACAATCTCCACTGTTTGCAATCTGTGGCGATTGTACACGCAAAAGCTAGATTTTTGCTGCATGACTACTAGTCTACAATACAGGTACAACTAGTAGAGCGAAAAAGAATTCACATATATTTGACAATAAAAACAGTTTCAGAAATAGCAGAGTATTGATTGTCGATTCTTGTTCTTCCACCTTTTCAAAAAGAATCCTTATCGTCAACCTTCATCACGACTGTCAATCGGTAGGAAAAAATTGAAAAATCCGAACTTTTGGAATTGAGTTTGTCTGAAAAAATCACGAGGGAATAAAAATAAAAGAGAAAAACAATGTTCCAAGGCATATTCATTGCCACATTCGTTTCACTTTGCCTGATTCCATTCCCAAACGAGTCAAATACCCAAAGTTACACTAATATTTAGGAAAATATGGTGAAGTATATAGCATGACAATGAACGCTACATTTTTACAGAAGTTGGAAATCCTTTCGTATGCAATGGAAGCTAAGTATATATCAGTAGAAGTTCTACCCATACAATATTGCTTCAAAGTACACCATGGCTTCCCAATAATTAACAAATCTCTTAAGCCAACTCTACATGCAGCTCAAAAAACAAAAGGGAAAAAAAAAATGTAAGCAACATGAAACATGAATTAACAAATCCACCCCGCTTGCTTTGCTTTGATGCAGACAAAAAAAAAATGTGTCTATCTAGGATCTTACAAATCATCATCACTCGATCGATTCTTCCTTCAGCTTTCCTTGCTGCCCCTTTTGGCAACTTCTCACAAAAATTCTTCCATGTTCAGTTTCCAAAATTGATTAAAGTTGCGGGCGCCTTTGCCATTTCATGTCTCAGAGCCTTCTTGAACAGTAGGAAGACCACCTTCACTGATAAATGTTGGGTCGAGAAACTTAGCCACAAAAGCCCACAATTTATATACATCATCAAAATTCGTCAGAAAGCCTAGTGAGGCCGTGACAACTTCAAGTCTTACAAAGCTACCTTTACCATCGCGCCGACCATTCTCCATTGGCCTGCAAAGAGTTGTATCTTCAAGATTCGGAGTTCCACGATGCTGTCTTGAGCTATCAAGAATCTGTATGTGACTGAGAAAACCAAGACCAAGAGAGATTCCTTCTTTTTCAGCAAGCTTTTGAACAATCTCTGGATTGATTAGCCCCCTACTTTTGTCCCTCACATTGAAAGCCACAGCTGCACCTCTTTCATATTTTATCTTCGGACCATATATGTGGACAAGATTTGCTTTTTCAGTGCCATCAGAAGCAGGAAACTTCAGTTGCAGTAACGAGGTAACAAGCCAATTTATCAAAAACCGAAGTCTAAGCGTAGTTTTATTGAGACCAAGCATATTGACATGGTCAATATGACGACACGTTATCTCTGGTTCCCTCCTGCCCCAGTCCTGTCCATCACCATATTCTCCATCACTTGTGACCTCTTCATCATCGAAGCTAGTTGCAGATATGTCCCCTGCTGTTTCTACCGTCTGGCTTAGATACTCTTTACGATTATCTTCCATGCTGAATGACACTCTTCTTCCCTTGCTGATGGCTTCATTCTCTTCCAAACCGAAAAACCTACCACCACCAAAACGATTACCTTCTCTCCTACCCAACAACCTGAATTCACCTTCAGTTTCCCTTCTTATGGCACTCTCTTTGACATCAGGACATATTTCAGAGGTCGAGCCATTCTCCAAGCTCTGATGCCGAGCAAGAGAAGATGAATTATTGAGCCATGATCCATTATTGACTGCCTCACTGGTTCCAGGTTCTTCCAGGATCTCATTGACATGAAGATGATCTGACCCATTACCATTTCTCGAGTAATGATCAACCTCTTCAACGTACTCTTCTTCAGGAACCTCTTTCACCCGGTCTAGCTCCTGTGACATCAAGACAGCAGCATCAAATGACAGCACATGGCGGTCCTCTGGTGCACCTATGTTTACCTCTCTGTCATCGTAAATTGGGCTGCCATACATCTTGGATGTTGGTTTTGGTGAAGGTTGCTTCTGGTTCTTTCTCCCATTGAACCAGAAAGGTGGTAGGGGAGAAGCTATCTTATGTTTATTCGATTGCCCTACACCATCAGACCCCAACGGACTCTGACCCAAATCAATCCAAAATGAATTATCCGATGACTCATCCTCACTGAAGACAGGACTCTTTATCACCTCTCCAACAGATATGCTCTCCGTCTCCTCAAATATGGTGCTAGTTCCATCTCTTTCAGAGCTGTCTTGATCCATTTCAGTCTCAAAAACATCTCTGACCTGTGCAGATGTGAATGCCCCAGAAAAGGCAGGCAACTGTGTTCCCTGACGAGTTTCAGAAGTCTTGTCACCCAACCCAGTGATTTCATCATCTTCAATTCCAACAAATTTATCCAAACCATCTACAGAATCACTCAAATACATTGGAAACTCGGGGGTAATCTTCACCATTCCAGACCCAGTACAACCAGACTGATTTTGAAGGTTTTGCATCACCGATTTCTTTATCAGAAGACAGCCAAAACCTGTGGGATCATATCCGAAAACCCTGTAAAATGACGTGATTATAAAATCTGGCCGAAATAGGGACAAGCCAAGCGAATCCATGTCCTTGGGGCCCAATGACCCAGCATCCAATAAGACATGCCAGTTGTTTTGCTGGGCCAAGGCCATCCACTGGTACGAATACTTAGCCCCAGTTACTCTAGACTGAACTGGGAACACAAAAAGACCAGTAGCTGAATCCTTCTTCCTCTTCTTCTTGTTAGAAATCTGTTTCCTCAAATCAGTAGAACAGAGTTTGAGGGTTGGCCATTTAAACCATGCACTATGCACTTTAGCACCTTTCTCCCTAGCACTCTGAGCCATCCAAGCAACGGACTGGCTCTCATGGTCGAACATGGTCAACAACTTTTTGTTTGTATGGAAAGGGTATGATTCAGCCAGCAGTTTAAAAGCTGATCCTCTACTAACAGTAAAAACAAGCCCATACTCATTCTCAGGGATATTCAGATAGTCCATAATCCTAGTCTTTATATCATGCTCAACAGTTCCTCTCTCGGCACCACCATAAAGTGCATGGTTACTCAAATTTGCAGTTATCTCAGACAAGCTAAACGTAGAAGACTCCCAATAATGAATTGTCTGAACAAAAGAGAAGAGTCCAAAACCACAGTAATCAAGGCATACCTTGGGAGACAAATGTGAGTATTCATCAGACCTCAACTGATCAACCTTCTCCGAGGACTGGTACTTGGGGTACATGGTAAGGAACTTGGAAAATGCTTCCTGGAGGCTAGGAATTTCCTCCTCCGACTCGAAGATGCGCTCCGCCGCAAGCGCAGTGGCTCGAAGGAACTCGCGCTGGGCGTGCAGCCTGGCAAGCGATCGGGATCTCCCAAGGCCATCATCCTGGTTGGCAGCAGAGTCAGGCTGGTCTATGTCTTGAGATTTGGAGAGTGAACCGTCTTCAGAAGCTTCCTCAAGGGCTTCCCTGAGCTTGTTTTCTTGCAGCTTCCGAAGCATTGATGGGTTTCTCTTAACATCAACATTTGATTCATCTTTCCTCCTGCTCTTCTTGTCCATGATCAGTGCAGCACAGTGAGAAATGGGCTTCCATAGTGAGAGATGCATGCTGCCTTTTTCCTCTCCCCACACAAACCAATCTGAGATTCTTTTAGACACTTAAAACAACAAAAACAACAAGGTTTTAGTTTAGCCCATCACACCAATCAGTAAAATATTGACCTTCAACTCCTTCACCAACAAAAGATAAGGAATCGGGAATTCTTAAAGAGCACACCTCCCCAACAATCTAATTTGTGATACATGAGATTTTTTTTTGAGATAAACAAACAACTCAGCTCACCATCTCACGCGAAAACCAACAAAGACATAAATAGACTCTTTTTTTGGTCCTAAACCCAGAATAGATTTCAATACCAAATTTCTCAGAAAAAGGAGAGAGACAACACGAACAGATGGAAAGAAACCCAAGGAGAGAGAAAGTCAAAAGCTCAAACCCTAGAACTCAGATCCCAAAATTTGCAAGGCGACTCACAGCAACAAGAACGCCCAGAAATAGAAAAAAATAATTTAAGAGAAATGGGTTTAATCAAACTACAAGTAATAGAACCCCAGAAGCTGAATCAGTAGCGAAACACTCCACAAAACACCTGAATAGCCCATCAAAGGTGAAGGAAGATTCTCTCTCTTCTCTCTCTCTCTCTTCAATTCACTGCAGCACAATTAAAGCAAAGCGCCCCACATCAAATTCCTTTTACTAAGAAAGTAAAACCAAAACAAAGCAGTTTGATATCTCCACTGTACTAGTGTTTTCCTCTTAAATTGAAAACCAAAAAGAAAAGAAAAGGAAAAGTAGAGAAAAAGGAAAAGAGAGATTTCAATTCAATTCAGAGTAACCCCCATTCTCCCACATCTCTCTCCCCAATGTTTCAACTCTACAAAAACAACAGTTGCTAGGAATCCAGGGAGAGGGGACATTGACTCTTGCAAAAACCAAACTTGTTAGGGATATTAAAATGATTTTTCGATTTTTCGTATATTATTTAAGAAATGAGGTTCCTTTTGTCTATGTTGTGGTGGGACCCACAGGCTGAAGTCATGGTTAAAAGTCAAATAATCAGCTGGTTTGTAAAAGCTGTTATCTGTCCAACTGGGCAAACCACAAAGTTCAAAGTCCCCAATTCCACACTTCCCACCACCACACAACCCCCTCCATTATACTATTTCATATTTGCTTTTTAAAATTAATTACTTCCATTTTAAAATTATATCATCATCTATATAATATATATAGATAAAAAAGATTAATATAAATTTTCTGAGCATTAAAAACTATTCTTTATATATTAAATCAGTGAAGCATCATACATAACAATTTATAATTAAATGATAGAATAAAATTTTATATAATTGACATATACCGAATATTATGAATTAACAAAAGCATAAATTTATTTTGAAAAGAAAAACTATAAAATGATTTTTCTAAAATATATTATTGAATGATATAAATCAACCAAATAAATAAATCCATTTAAAATAATAAAAATATTAAAATGACATCTCTTAAATCAGTACCATTCTTTATTTCAATATCTTTTTTTTTTTAAGTTAGATTCTTGTTTTCTTACATACCTCATGGGAAAAGCAGCAATCAATTTTCCCCCAAATCCTTGTTATTTGCAAGAAGTTAGGTGAAGTTATTTAATGAGGTAAAGTTCCCTCATTTAAGGTGGATGTATAATATAGTAATATTGGATATCAGAAGTTTCATAGATATTTTTGAATTTAGACACTTTTATGACATTTGGAAATTTAAACAAGTACGAAGAAGTTTGTGTTTTTAGCTTTTGTTTTTGGCTCAAAGCCAAAGGTGTTGCTTTAAGTTTCAAATTCAATTCAGTACTGTTGAAATTAGAAAGAATCTATTCCGGAAGCCCCTTAAAGCTAAAAGAGAGAAAATTCAAAAACGAATCTTTGATCCAGATCATGGATCATGGAAGAAGTTGTTAGATTCAACATTCCAGATCCAACAATTTGTGGTGAATTTTAGACAGAAGAACACTTGATTCAAACAAAGGAACTTATATCAGCAAACTTAGCCTCCAATGGTGTACTTTGTTTGGAAGAAACAACATTCATGTTATTTTCAATTTAAAAATAGTAGACTTTTTGTGCCAGTATCTTGTGTTTGAGGATGTTGTTTACTGAGCCAGATCAACAACATGGATTTCTTTCTTTATTTGTATATTTAATTTTTTGAAAGAGACAAAATCAGAAACAAAACCCAGAAAACTATAAAAATATAATCAAGTGGATGGAGTCTTGCTCTATTTTAATTTTCATTATCAACTCCGGGAACAACTTCAGTGTATAAATATTGGTTTAATATCTGACATTTTTGGTCAACCCTTGCAAGAGGATCAATCAAAACACTAAACTTACCAAATTACAAAGACACGTCTGCCATGCCTTGTTTCTGACGTTTATGAAATGTTAACAAATTATTATAATTAGCTTCTTAATCTCTTTCTCTTATTTTCTTTTATCTTCTATTCCCACTATTTCTCTCTTTTCTAGTAACCAAACGCAGTATAAGTGATGAAGGCATAATAATAAGCCGAGAGTTTCTTGCCCATCACCCACGTTTTAGTCATATCCAAACGGCAAACACACGTTAATGTATGAACATGTTGAATGTATGCACTTTTTAAATCATCTTGCTTGTTCAACACAAATTAATACTCAATATTAGTTAATGATATAACATTTTCATGTAACTAAATTTATAGTTATTAGAAAAAATTGATTAACAAATAATACTAAACACGTATTGAAAATCAAATCGGATGCATAAGTTGAACTGAAAATTATTTTATTTAATCGAGTCATAATTAAATTTTTAAATCCTAAATTGATATTTTTACTGATTTATTAAAGGATTCAATTTTAAAAACCATGAGTGGTGATGTTCTATATTAACGTATATAACCTGGTGATGATTAGGCAACAAATTAACGGTAAAGATAGTAAAGTTTAGTTGCTTATTTAATGCACTCCTACATCTTCCTTTCTAGTAACATCGCGTTTGGTATGAATACGTCGAACGCACTTTAATGTGAGATGCAAAAATTAATACTATCATATATAACATGTCTGGATATAAGATTTTCAAATTCAATGTCTACATATATTTAATGCCATTATTTGCTTTCATTTTGAATTTTCTAACATTTATTGTAAACAATAAAAATACTGCGTATCAAGTTATGGTTTATATCTCTTTAAAGAAAAGTTATGACTTATATATCTTACCGTTTATTTTATTAACGACAAAAATTAATGTAATGTCGTTGTTTAATCTGAATTGTAATATATATTAAAACCTTTTTATCATTATTTTATATAATTCATATTTTCATCAAAATATTTACTTCCTCTATTTCATTTTTTTTCTTGATCATCCATCTTCTTTCATTCATTACCCATTTTTATTCTCTTTTTTTCCTTTTTCATCTTCCTCAAATTTTTTTTATGAAATTGAAGATAATAATGAAGAACCTCAAGGATAATGTTACATTTTGATGAGTATATATATGGACTAACTGATATTAATAAAGTTTTTTATTTCTTTATTTTTTATTTTTGGGAACCGATATCTGCAATCTACAAAATCATCGACTCCAGTCTCTGAAGCTTTACAATTTCAACTTCTTATGTTTCATATCTGCCATGCAATTATATCACTTGAATAAATTGGTTTTTCGTACTAGTCCAAATATGATTAATTTGCATCATCATCCTAACAAAATTTTTACAATTTCTATTATCATTTACTGTACTTACCGCACTAGTAGAGATTGACAAAGAGAATTTTATAAGATAGATAATCGTGTTTCAATTTTTACTTCTATTTTTTATTTTAATTAAGTTGAATGATTTCCTTTAAAAAAAAATAAAGACTCATTTATAAAAGATAGTTTGAGGTTTAAGTTAATTTAAAAAAAAAAGAATAATGTATTTAAAAATAAGTGATGAGGTTAGATTTATTTTCTAACTGAATCTTTATATATAAGATTCAAAAAAGATAATAATAATCCAAAATATAATAATTTATAGTCTAAAAAATAATAACTAATATAATATATTATAACAAATAAAAGATAATATAAGATGTAATATAATAATTAAATAAATAAAGTAGTTTTAATGAATTTGGGTTAGGTATACAAGTCCCCTAATTTCATACGTTAAATTCTATCATGAATCAAGGTCAAACGAGTTTAAGGTGAAATTGATCGTTTATCAAATAGTATTTGATTTGAATGTGTTTATGCTGTCAACCATTATTCGGTTAGACCAAGATATATTTGTAGGATTTACTCACTAGAATTTATTTATTTATCATGCAAAGATATTTGATAACTCATATAGCTTGTGTGACTCCAAATAAGGTAAATGCAAGTTTTGATAACTCATGTAACCTCGAGTAAGGGATTTATAACTCGTGTGACCTCGTAGATGCAAGTTTTTATAACTCATATATGAGTAAGGTATGTATTACTTGTGTGACCCTTGAGTAAAATAATAGTTTTATACTTGTGTGACCCTAACTCGTGTGATCTCGAGTAGAGTAATAGTTTTATACTTGTGCAACCTTAGGTACGATAATAGTTTTATACTCATGCGACTCCAAGTAAGGTAAGCTTTATATTCGTGTGATCTTGAGTAGGTAATAGTTTTATACTTGTGCGACCCTGAGTAGAATATAGTAATAGTTTTATACTCGTGCGACCCTGAGTAGATAATAGTTTTATATTTGTATGACTTTGAGTAAGGTAATAGTTTTATACTCGTGTGACACCGAATAAAATAATAGTTTGTGAATTTAACTCGAGATTGTTTCACCCGCGTATAATATGAATCAACATAGTTATAGGATAAAGAGTTGTATCATCGTAAGACTGATCCTTTTAATATGGTGGGGAAAATTCGACAAAGTATAACTTCGTTGTTAGTATACAATTTTACCTGTATCTTGTACATTGTTAAGTGTTATTCTGGACCTGTTGAGCCATTGTATTTTTCTATGCTGAGTGACTTCCAAC